AATAGATCTACTTTTTCAGCATTCTGAATATTTATTCTTCTCACTGCATTACAAAGACGGTTCCTTTTTCTTAACAACTGGCAAAAGAACTTTTGGCAGACGTTTGCGTCTGCAGGAGCTGGAAGCCAGCGTTCATCTTAGGCTTTTATGGCTTTTAGTCTTACTCCTTCATCTTTTTTTCATTCTACTTTTACTCTTAAGAGCTTGTGATTATTAAGGACTGTTGTTTACTGAGCTAACATGTACGATGCTTTGGGTTTCCAGGATTCAAAATACCATGTTTTTATGAAACTTGGAATCAAACTTGTGATTTCCTTTTAGCGTTCAACTCCATTTGCATTTCTCATCAAAAGCCTCCTAACTGTCATCTTGGAGCCTGGATACAGTAATAATGAACCGTTTCATGGTGGAGTTTTGGGTGAGCTAACGCACTGTGGAAACTCTTTGGTGCTGCGGTGCATCTTTTCTTTTGGCCTGAAGGAAATGCAAGTGGTCAGAACTACAGTCCTGCTTTCCTTACAGCACTGCTTGGCCAAGACAGCTTGTTTGCTTAGGGATCTTTTTTCAGCTGATATCCACCATCTGGTTTCCACTGTCATCCTGCCCTCTGAAAATTCTAGTAAATACAATGTATGTGCCTAGGTATCACTTTGAATAAAAGATAGACCTCAAAGGACATCCAGAGTCACTTCCAGATCGCCACTGCTATGCTTTGGTGCTACTGCCTGATTTGAAAGGACAGGCATCTTATTAGGACCTTTCTTCTTTTATATTTGCAGTGTAGCTTATACCGTTGCTTTGATGAGGCATGTTACATTTTTCCGTGCTGTTTCAAAGAATTCTTCACATCTTCACGCTGCTGATGCTGGGCATCACATTCTTCTCATTGCACCTGGTCTCCTCTTGAGTCAAAAAGACAGGACTGCTCACGTTCGTCCTGGATCTTGGAGATTTCATTTTGAAACTGGGGAAGGACAGGTCTGAGGGCTCTCCGAGGGCTCTCATGGTCCTCCCAGAGGAAGATGAAATTCTGCAGTTTGTTGATGCAGTGCTATCAATCACAATTATGGCAATTATACATGATTTATAAAGGGGAAAAAATAATTCAGATTTTGTCTTTTGGATTGGGGCCAAACATTCAGAAAATGTCTAGCAGCACTATATTTTAATGAGAATGGGTGTGCATGCATTTCTTCATCTGGAATATTGACTTGTTGGAGATGGTATTTTGGAAGAAATCCAGAAGTCATATTCTGGCAATTCAGTCTGCTGCTGGAGATAGATTTGTCCCAGAATGCGGTTGTAAATATTGTATTAGCTACTACCCAATTCAGGACTTTTCTACACCAATTCCTACTGCGTCTTTCTGAGAGGCAGGTTTAAGAGAAGCTGGGGGAGAATATTTGCCTGGTTTTTCTTTTTTTTTTGAAGTGTGGCTGCTTATTGCCTCTTCAACTCCCAAAATTCTCAAGTCTGGGTTGAAATATGGACACATTTTCTTCCTCCTACTCAGAATCCATCAAGATTATATTTTTTTTTTCCCCCAGCAGCAATTAATTAATTGCCTAATTAATCTGGAGAAAGGGAAGTGTTGAATGTGCTCTAGACCTCAGAGGTGAGATCTCCAGAAGCAGGGTTTGATGGGGGATAGAAATCAGAGGAGTGTTTGACAAAAACCTAGCAACAATTTTACAAGTTTGAGATTTACTTCACACCAGATACTCTTCTGTGTGGTCATTTACCTGAGTGGAATGGAAAATAGAATCATAAATAAATTAGAAACAGAGATTAGGTCCACTTGAAAATACCAAAATTAGGTTTTATATTCATGAGAGCTCTCTATATAGAATAGTTGCCTCATGTCTGAATTAAAAATCTATCCATGTGCTGCTTAACACATTGAAGGTGATTTCTACTAGTGAGGGAAGCCTTTCTTAGCTACCAAGGAAAAAGCTTGTATATCTGTCTTTCCCTTATTGCAGGAGTAAAGAGTTTCAAAAAAAAATATTGCCTGAAATGAACTCATGCTTAGAAAGGCCAGTATTTCAGACTATTCCTGCAGGTCAGGCTAAGCTGATGGTAGCCTGCTTTCATCTATATGACAGTCAGATTTTGTGTGGAAGGTCATTTACAAGTGGGAGAAATAGCCATCTGAAGATGTTCGGGTATTACCTGGTCCATCTTACACTAGATTATGACTAGAGAGACTAACGTTAAGTGTGTCTCGAAGTGCAGTGACAGAGTTTTGCTTCAGTGAGCAATTTTTCAACCAACATTATTTAAGAGGCCCTATGTATTTTTAAGTACGGTAGGCATCTATCTTGTGTCATTTGAGTGGTACAGCTGATTCTTCTGTTAAAACCATATAGGAATGACTTTGTAATGGTATTTCTTAAATCTGTAGTTTGGTCTTTGGGACCTTTCTTAATATTTAAATCCTTGGAGTGTCAGTTCTGGATACTGATTTGAACAAAACAAAACAATTTGAAAATTTCCTTTTTTGTGAGCAAACAGGTACCTGATAGCTAGTAATGTGTATCGCTGTGGGCTCTGTAACATACTGATCCATTACAAGCCTGGCATGAGAGCTTGAAACTATTATAAGTGGGTATGTTTTCTCCAGTGAAACAAAAAGAATTTGCTTTTAGCCACAAAGATTGTAAAGACTTTTCTATTACTTTTCTAAAAATGCAGTTTAAAATATTTCAGAGATTAGTACAAAAAGGAAGACGTGCAGTTATATTTTAGTTAGGTTCTCTGGGATTTGTGTAATTGAATTTGAGTAGCCAGAGTTTACGGTTGTGTGTTAAAAATAAATAGTAAACATAGACGTTGAATTTAATTTTATGTTATGCTGCTCATTTGTATGAACTATGTTTTACTATTGGATTATTTACAAAAATAGCAAAATACTAAAAGGAAAAAAAAAGTGCACGCACATGAAAAATCTTTTCAACGTGTCATCTCAGTAGGTCATGTATGCCTTGATGTGTAAACACGTACTTGAGAGAATCTTTCTTTTTTCTGTTCTGTTCCATTTTGGAGGCTTTACTAGAGGTGGCTTCTCTCCAGAATTAGGTAACCAGTAGTAGGACAGATACACTGGCAGAAAACAAACTTACTTGCCATAGCTGTGCTTTTCATTCATCTCTACCAATAGGTTTGCCGTTACTAGCTTCATCTTAGTTTTGAATAATTTCTGAGCAACTTGTCTGATTAGCAGCTTTTCATTGACTTATTGGGAAGGTGTCTATAATTTGGAAGTGTGTATTTCTGAGCTAGAAAGCCTGAGAGGGCATGGGTGCCAGTTTCTCAGATATATATGAGGCATTTGCCAGGCCTGGGGGTGTCATGATACAGAGCATTTACTGTTCCTGCCTAATCTGAAATGTTAAACACAAAACTGTAAGTGGAAATCCAATGGGACATATATTTTCAGTGCATGGTTCGGTTTTTGTTCCTCAAGTGCATATCTGTTTTTTTGTTCCAAACTGCTGCCTAGAGAGATGTACTTGTCATGAAACTGCTTTTATTGTTTTGTTAACATATTTCTCATCACAGCAGAATAGGATATCCTCTGCTTTATGATTACAGTTTGTTCTTACTTTACTTTTGTTAATTATTTGTTAAATTAACTTTTGTTAATTTATTATTTAATTTCCGTACTGAAATGTGATAATGGTACCTGGTGATCTTTCTTCTCATTAATTCAATGCAGTGCCTCATGTACTGTGTTAATTTTGTACCTTTTTGAGTTGTCATAATGTTACAGTACTTTAAAAATGGTATTTTAAGTTACAAATGATGTAAAGATTTGATTCTGTTCTTACCAGTTATCAGCATAGTTGCACCTCCCTTTTCAAATAGTGTTTGTTTAGAAAAATGATAATTGATACTTTCTGATAATCGATACATTCTGATGTCTGTCATGTGAGCTATATTTGCAGGGCAGTTGAGAATGGAAAATGATTTTATTGCATCAAAACCATAGTCAAATATATTTGTAACTATACAGTTTTATATACGTGCAATGTATAATTTTAATACGTATTTTTAATGTTTGTTCTCCAATGAATCACAATGAATAAAGTAGAAGGGCGTAGTTCAAGGCAATTTCACTTGCTTTAATTCTCCTAGTCTCCTCTCATATGTTTTTTGTCAATTCAAGACTCTGCCTTAAGTGAAGGACAATGAATAATTTATTTTATACTTCAACTTTAGTAAAGGGATATAAAGATAGCCAAATAAACTTTTTTCCGTGTAACCCCATCACAGTAAATCTGCCCAGCTGGTCTGTCTTTTCATGCCAAGTGATGGATATGACTAGACCACCCCAATTTACTTTTTTTTCTTTATAACTTGTTGGGGGGTTTTGTCTGCTAACCTACCTAATACCTAAATGTATTTTGCTCATTAGATTTTGTCGTAGACATCATCATGACATGTAATCATCGTCATTGTATTTTTTCTTCAGGAGTCCAAAATAATGCTTTAAATAATAATTCTCCAAAACCCCATTAGTGGAATAGAGCTGGAAATAGAAGAGCATGAGGTTCACATCTACATTTAGATCATGTACTCACAGTCTTTCACACAACATCATTCATGTCTCCCATTGATCCTTCTTCCTAGTAGTTAATTTCATACTGGTCCACATCTAACTATATTAAGTTATGGTTGCTTCTAGGTTTATGCTAATCAAAATATGTAATGAATGAAGTCCTCGTATATCCCCCCTTAAAGAAATTCAAGGGAAATACGTGTGTATACTTAAATAATTTCTGATGACATGTGGCACAGCATGTAGTGTCTGAAGTAGCTGATGGCAGAATCATTCATATTTAAAAAATACTCAAGTCTGGATGCTCAAAACATTTTCTTTCCTGTGCATGGGTATCAAACATTACTAGGTTTTGAATTAACCTAGTTACTTTATAACTTCAATGATTGTCTCCCAACAGGCAGTATTCTATTAATAGTTTTGTTCTTTTGCGTTGCAGGGGGTTCAGGACCATCATCATCAATAGCCATAGCTGGCACCAGCCAACCTGCCATCACAAAGACAACATCTGTGCTTCAAGATGGTGTTATAGTCACTACTGCAGCTGGAAACCCACTTCAGAGCCAGCTGCCCATTGGGAACGATTTCCCTTTTGCTGGCCACGAACACTCGCTTCATTTTCCGCAGAACAGCTCTTCAAACAACAATCTTCCACATTCTTTGAATCAAAACCTCCTCAATTCTCTGCCTATCTCTTTGCCAGTGAATCAGCAACATCTCCTAAACCAGAATCTATTAAATATACTACATAGGAGAAGGCAAGTCTGAGGTCAACCTCAACCCTTTAGGTTTTCTCAACCCGAATGTAAATGCTGCTTTAGCTTTTCTCTCCAGTGACGTGGATGGGCAGGTATTACAACCTGTTCATTTTCAGCTTCTAGCAACCCTCCTTCAGAACCAAGCCCAAGCAGCTGCCATGCTTCCCCTACCATCTTTCAATCTGACCATCTCAGATTTGTTGCAACAGCAAAATAACCCTTTACCCTCAGTAACACAGATGACAGCCCCACCTGACCATTTGCCAAGCAATCAGTCAGAAAGCAACAGGGTGGAGACCCTTTTAACCAACCCCCTGGGCAACCCTATACCAAGCTTTTCAGGCACTGACACTACTTCTAACCCCCTGCTCCTCCCAGCTGTCTCTGGGGCCTCAGCATTAATGGCCTTGAATCCCCAGCTGGTGGGAGGTGTCCTGAACTCTGCATCGGGCAACACCGCTAATCATCCAGAGGTTTCCATAGCCACCTCCTCCCAAGCAACCACTACCACAACCACTACATCATCAGCAGTGGCAGCACTGTCTGTCTCAACCCTGGGTGGTGGGACCGCAGTGGTGTCAATGGCAGAAACATTGCTGAACATATCTAATAATGCTGGGAATACATCTGGTCCAGCTAAACTCAACAATAGCTCTGTGGTGCCACAGCTACTTAACCCTCTACTGGGGACAGGTCTGCTTGGTAAGTTCAATTTCTTCACAGATATAAAAGGAAAAAAAAAAAAGGAAGAGGGTTGGGGAGGGGGAATTTTGGATTCTAGTTTCTATTTTTAAAGACTCCACTTTATCATACTTTTTTTTGTAAGGCTTTTGTATGTTACAGCTTGTTTATTTCTATTGAGAAAAATATAATTGTTATTGTAAGAAATTTAAAATACATTCTAATTTAATTCAGTAGCATTTTATACTGGTTTTGGAAATTATTTTATATTCCATTCTTAATTCTGATGCCACCTAGACCTACTATACATACCTTAAAATTCTGTAAGCAATTGGACTTGTTTCATTTTTCAAGTAGTAAAAGCACAGGTGCATCTCTGGGATGCAGTGTTTCATTTCAAGTGCATGTGGCATCACAGGGTTAGTACGAGTAGCTGTGCAGTAGATGAAAAATGGCCAAGTGCTTTTTTCCAAATGAATCAAAAGTGCCAAAGCCGTAAGCACACTCCCCGTAAAGTAATCCATAAAGCATTCGAAGTAGGTCCTTGCACAAGTTCAAAGAGGAAGGTTGCCCTTCGAGCCCTTTATTGTGTATTTATATTTTCTCATTTCTCTGTGTTTTTTTTTTTTACTTTAGCTTGTAGTTTAGAAACCCAGGGTATCTCACTTGACAAACACCTACATCCCAAAACAAGTGATTAAAAAGCCCTTAAATACAAGGTTTTTCTCCTGGGTCTTTTGATGATATTTACCAAGAATATCTAATATAGTTAGTACTCCTCTGTTGTTCGGTCTACGTAATCTAATAAATAGACTAGTAGGAGGAATTAAATAGTGGCAAAGAGCTGATAAGTATTTTAACTTAATACCTCATACTTACCTACTAAATGGCTATCGTGAACTCAACTCTACATTTTCCATGTAAAATACAACTAACTAATGATTCTGCAAATGGCAATTTTAAGAAAAACATGATCTTTTAATTAAAAAACAAAAAAAAACCCCTAGGAAATGGATACATTTTTAAGCTTTATTATTTCATAAAGTCAGGTTCAACAGCGTATTTATTTTACTAGAACTATAATTTTCATGTAAAGTGAAATTTTCGTGTAATACAAAATGTTAAAACAGTTGTTTCTCTAGAATGTAAAAAAAAAAAAAAAAAAAAGGTTTAGCGTGTTGGCTGACATATCTGTGAGCCAAAAAGCTTTTGCTGATTTGCAGTTAGCTCACGTTATTTTGTCATAGTTAATGAAAAACTAGTTTTGTTGGGGTTTTTAAATTATTTTCTCTTTTTTTCTCTCTCTCTCTCCTCCTCTTCCTCCCCCTCACCACCCCAGTACTGTTTGAAGCAGTTACTCTTTGGAAACTAAGAGTAAGATTCCGAGACACCGAATATCATAGAAGCTCATTCTGCCATACTTGGCTGTGTACCGTTCCAAAGGCAAAGACAGTCATGTCAGAAACCTTTAGAAAGAGTCCAGATAGATGTGACATGCAAAAGAAGCAATACTGAAGAAATAAAGGAATAAAGAGTAGGAGACACATGCCTTGAGGACCATTCCATAGAAGATTGAAGGGGAAAAGTGTTGTTTTACAGAGGCATTTGCATAGCAGTCAGTTAAAATTTGAGTCAAGGAAATTCTTCCTGACTGTTGAAAACCATACTGACTTACGTTTCCCTGTGTTTGAATTACAGGTGACATGTCATCTATAAACACTACTTTGAATAACCATCAGCTGAGTCATCTCCAGTCGCTATTAAACAACAATCAGATGTTTCCTTCAAATCAGCAGCAACAGCACCTTCTCCAGGGGTATCAGAACATGCAGGGCTTTCAAGGCCAGCCCCCAATTCCTGGCCCAGCTAACAACCCAAACCCCATGGCATGTCTGTTCCAAAATTTCCAGGTAGAAAGCAAAATGAAATCAATATTCAAACAAATGTGCAACTCTCAGTAGGTAAAATAATATCCTCCATAGTTTGATTTTTTTGCTGAGTGATTAAGACAATATGATATATACAATTGCTTGCCTCTTTCAGTAGTTTTTGGATTTTGCAAATCAGTAACATTTGTTACTGAAATCTTATACCTTCTTCCTTAGAAATTGAGTATAGTTTCTTTGGAAAGAATTATGCTGCATGTATTGAAAAAAATATGCTGTGTATGTTCTGACAGTTACTCTACATTTTTAGCAAAACTGTTTTCCATTCCGCAGAAATGATCATAAATTCCCATTTAGACCACTCTAACAATTCAGTTGTGAGAAATAAATATTGATACCACTTTACAGTAATTAGAAACTTAATAAATGATTATAGGTGACCATGTGTACCAGTCCTCTTATATTCCCACTGAAATTGAGTGGAAGAGCTAGCTGTGATGTGGATTGTATAGACTGAAGAAAACAGGCATTAGAATGAATATACAGTGACAAACTGTGCAAAAATGATACTTCCCTGCTGTCCAGCTAAATAGACAATTCTTGATAATGCAAGTTGAACTATCAAACTAAGATACTGACAGGAAGCACAGCAACCAAAATAGGTAATAAAACCAGAGTTAAAATACGTATTTGTTATTATTCAGTATTACCATGGTTGCTGCAGAACTCAAGACGTGAAGATGGAAGCATGCAGATAGTGCCAGAAAGTGCTTTTACCTTTTAAGAAGGAGGAAGAAGATGTGTCATTTTCTCAGTGTAGATGTTTCACTGCTGTTGCAAAATCACAGTCCTCTAACTGCCTATTACCTCTCTTTGGTTTTGTATGAATTTTGGTAGTTTTATCTCAGTGGGTTTTTTGCTTCAGATTCTCAGTTATATAAATAGTAATGGTAAGTATTTAAAGGAGCTGTTGGAAATATTTTACCCTTGTTTTTTACAGTTTTTTATTATAGCACTATTATTGACATCATCTTCACTGCCTACGTATGTGACAAGAAATATAAAAAGCACAGTTACTTTAATCTGGAGGTTACAGTTTACTGTGGCAGTGCCTAACATTACAGCTGCAATGCAAAGGGATGCGGGCATGGTTTACAAGGGACTGAAGTAAAAAGAGGTCCCACAAGAGAAGCACATAACCGAAAGGGAAAAAATAGAAATGTTACCCAATTCCAAAAGGACAGTGATGCTACATTCCAGAAATTGAATGAGGAGCATACAAGGATCCCAGAAGAACGGTTGATAAGGAGGAATGAAGCAAAATTAGGGTCTGGGAAGGAACGAAAGAGAATAGTTGGGAACAGAAATACTGAACCTGGTGGAGTTGTTTAGGACTTGAGAGAAAAAAGGAGGGTGCTGTGCTTCAATCAGAAGAGGAAATCCATGAAAAGACTCTGAAAGAGACGATAATGTAGTCTCTGCAGTGCGTGGTAGGTTGTATCATTTCATGCAAGGCGTCTGTTTTGATCCATGAGGCAAAGTCTAAGAGCCGGTGTTTTTGTTTTCCTCTAAATTATGCTTTTTTTGTTTGTTTTGTATCTAGCTTGTTCAGCATTAAACTTCATAGCTGATGTATAACCAAACTAAAATTATGTACTGTAACAAATAGTCACCCTGGCCACCATCCTGATTTTTTAATTAAAATGAAACAACGTTTGTCTATTTAAATGGAACTCTAGGCAGAATAGCAATGCCCATCTTTTCCTCTACTTTTTCCAGGTGAGAATGCAGGAAGATGCTGCTGTCCTAAACAAAAGAATGATCACTCAAATGGGAATGGCGCCAGTTCCCGAGAGCTCCAACACTATGCTTCCTCCTTTCCAAGAAACATCTTGTGATTTGCAGCAAAGAACTGAACCATCTCTTGGACAACAGGCAAAGGATAACCTCAATGTCGCTGCTCAGGGTGATACATCGGTGGACGCTATCTACAAAGCGGTTGTAGATGCTGCAAGCAAAGGAATGCAAGTAGTAATCACCACTGCCGTTAGCAGTACAACGCAAATGAGTCCCATTCCAGCTTTGAGTGCCATGAGTGCCTTCACAGCCTCAATTGGTGACCCATTAAATCTTTCTAGTGCTGTCAGTGCAGTAATCCATGGAAGAAACATTGCCGTTTCTGATCATGAAGGTAGGATAAGAAACACTAGAGGAACACGAATACTGAAGAATTCAGAGCATGGTAAAAATTCGAGTGAAGGGGATGGGTATGAGTATTACAAATCAACAAGTTGTAACACACCCAAAAAACAGTGGGAAGGGGAGCAAAGTCCTGTCAGTGAGATAAACAGATGGAAATGTGATGAGTTTCTAGACCACTCTACCCATATCCATAGTAGTCCTTGTCACGAAAGGCCCAATAACATCTCCACGCTGCCATTATTACAAGGCGAGCAGCATCAGATACTGTTATCACAGCGAAACTGTCAAAGTGATAAAATGTTGGAGGAGAATTTCAGGTATAACAATTACAAAAGAACTATGATGAGTTTTAAGGAAAGACTGGAGAACACTGTGGAACGATGTGCACACATAAACGGAAATAGGCCTCAGCAGAACAGAGGATTTGGGGAGTTGCTGAACACTTCTAAACAAGACCTGATTCTGGAAGAGCAATCTCCAAGTTCCTCAAATAGCTTGGAAAGTTCGTTAGTTAAAGACTATATCCATTACAATGGAGATTTTAATGCCAAAAGCATTAATGGGTGTGTGCCTAGCCCTTCAGATGCTAAAAGCATCAGTAGTGAAGATGACCTAAGGAACCCAGACTCCCCTTCTTCAAATGAGCTGATACATTACAGGCCGAGGACGTTTAATGTTGGCGACTTGGTCTGGGGCCAAATCAAAGGACTGACTTCATGGCCTGGAAAACTAGTAAGAGAAGAAGAAGTTCACAATTCATGTCAACAAAACGCTGAGGAGGGGAAGGTATATTTATATATATATGCACATATCTGTCTATCTATATACACATGTACCTGTGCCCATACAAATGTTTATCAAAACTATCTTGGTCCATTCTTTATTTTTTTCTCTGTCTCTTATTTTAGTAGGACAAATTGCTTTTTTTCGTAACTATAGCTTGCAGAACTGAATTTTTCCCGTAGTTATCTAATGAGAAACTTCTACCAATGCCATGAAAACAGATCATATTTGGGCCCGATTATGCTTTACTAATTTGTGCACAAAAGACTTGCTACACAAAAAGTGTTGTTAACAAAAAATTGTTTAACTTACATTGTGTATTTAGTTGAACTTCTGGCTGTGTCCAAAGAAACTGATACGGAGCTATCTAAAAGTGTTGAAAACTGCAAAAAGGAAAACTAATCTAATCAGATTGAGGAGTCTGCAATAAGTAAAAGCTTGCTGATTGACATATACACTCTTTAAGAGGAAATGCATGTGCATTTTCACCTTCAGAGGAGGTTTTGACCATCTTTAATTGTGAGGAAAGCATTCCAATTTGCTCTTTCGTACTAAAATCCATTTTCTTTGGTTGACAAATCATATGCTTGTTGGGGAATATACAGAAAATACAGTTATCAAGGAGTTATTGGTTATTTTATTATGATAAATATTTCAAATTCTGGTCTCCACTACTTTTATAACATTATATTTTTGTAGTTCTTATAAAATATTTCACATTTCCATATGTAAATATTTTTAAGTGCAATTTTATAAAATGCAAATTTTAAAAATATGTAAGCAGAAAGCAAAGATCTAATGAAATAACGTTTTCCCTCTGACACAAAGAAATCAAACCACTTTAAAATTATGTCGTTTTTCCCCATATACCTGCCTAGTACATTGCATGACAACAGTCATAAGAAAATAAGTTGTAAGAACGGTGATAGTGGGTTGGACCAAAGTATTCCTTTCCCCAAAATTTGGCCAGCAGCGGATATCCAGAGGAGAGAGAGTACAAGGACATGTTGAGGAGTGCCTCTTCACCAACAGCCTCCGACTCCCACCAGTGTATAGCTCAGGAACTTCTTGAGCTGGAACTGGTGTATCTATAGTGTAACCACTGCTGGTCTTACTGTAGTTCATAATCGTAGAGTTATCTGAGGTTGATGGGCAAATGTTATTTCCCCAAACAGTCCAACAGGTCTCTGATGAATTGGTGCTATAAATAACTAGGGTGATGTTTGGCCAGAGTGGTTTCAACCCTAGTTCAAGAGAACTTTAGTCTCTCTTTACAGGTGGCTTCGCTGTCGATCTCCTTAGCCACAAAGGTTTCAAAGAGCTCCCGTCCAAGTACACTGAACGAAAGTATTTACTTTATAGAGAAATAACATGCTTTAGTAACAATATTTGAATCCTTAAGAGCTCATTCCTTATGAAGACTAGATCCCCAAGTTAAAGTCAGTTTATAAAGTGTAGGCAAATGAGACAGACCACAAACTATAAAAGATTAAACAAAACTGGAAAAATTAGGTGGTGTACAATATCACTGTCCCATATGAATTACAAATACAGTAATTACACTGCACGTATGTTCTAAGTATGCATTTATGTATTAACTTCAAAAAATTGTGTATCCGTATCTATATGACTGTTCTGATATATTTGAAGAGCTTATTTTTAGAACCTTTGTAAAGAGGTGAAATTTTTTTCATTTGCATTCCTTAGCAATTTTACATGTTTACTCCCCAATTTGTGGATACCAGAATGTATAGTTGCTTTTCTGCAAACCTGCCTTCTTTAATTTTGTGTCTCTTATGTACATTATATAAGCATTGTGTAATATTATATTCAGTGGCACAGATTTTATTGTATACTGAAGCACAAACAACAGGGTAGCAAACTGTGGAAATGCATACATTGCTGCTCATGCAGTACTGTCAAGGTACTTGTGGAGGCAGCAAGAGAGACTGTTTCAAGTTCTTCATCAGGAAGTCCCGCGTAATGGATCACCTCTCGCATCAGAAGGCCTTTAATTTAATAATAATAATTTTAAATTTAAACAAAAACAAAAGTATGTCTAATTTTCTCCGACAAGAAGTACAAAGTGAATGACCATTCCAAAGGTCAGGAGTTGAGGTTGAAAGATGGGATACAGGGGAATATGAAAAAGGTGAAAATGTGCATGTGCTGTATAATAGTTCTGGTTTTAGTTCAAAATAGGCAGGAACGCCCATGCACAGTGGCAGTCTGTAAACATGTTCAAACACTCCTATGACACGTTGTACAGCTACATTCTTCAGATGTTTGGGCAGCCTGATCTGAAGGAAAAAAAAGAAAAAAATAAAAAAACTAACGAACTACACCAAACCAAAAAAAAAAACCAACCTTGAAAACCAAAAAGAAATAACCTTGAAAATCAAATGGTCTTCAGAAATTCTGCGCTTCAAAAAATCCTGGAAGGTTACAATTCATGGTGGGAGTCACTAGCAGCAGTTCTGAAAATTGTATTTTCTGCAGAGCTTTCTTAAAACATCTTTTAAAATATTTGTGTAATCAAATGTTAACCTCCTCTATTGTAACATTAGTTTTGCTATGCTGTTGGGATTTCATGGTACTTTGTATATCCTCTGTTCTTTATCTCATACATAATTTGGTTTTTGTTTCCATTTAAAAGACTTTGGGTATTAAATGTCATAATGCTTCTGTTTGAAGAGCAGCTAGAATGGTGTTTCCCTAACAGGAGAAGGGAGGAATATTGCACCTTTGTCTCCTAATGAACACTTGCTTTTTGGCCACTGGAAAATTAAAGAGGAACCCAAGGGAAGTGCAGCAGTAGCAGCAGAAATTTCTGAAAAGGAAAGAAGCAAGCCTGAAGCTACATGCATCCTAAACCAGAGGATGTGTATTTCATTATGTAATTAATTTTATTATTATCCAAATGAAATCACCTAAACAGGAACAAGGCTTTGAGAGCAACAATGTGAAAGTCAAAGGGTTTGTGTGAGCAGTAGTTGCCTGTTGTTAGTGCATTTCGTAGTGATTCTTACGGGGCAAGTATTGTTCTCAATAGGACTTCCCATCAGTTCAACTGGGTTTTTTAAACTGAGCTTTTACAGTTCTACAGATAATAATAGGTATGATTTATCAGTGTCCTGAAAATCCCATTTGTATGTATTATTTAGTGTTGTAATGGCTTATTGTAAATGAAGGCATATGATATTATTAATTCAAATATATCTGTTATAGTTGCTTCCAATACCATGTTATGTTAACAATTTGATCCTACTTCTAAAAAAAAAAAACGCTAGCAGGTTTTTTACTGTTCTACCATCACAAAATTCCAATAATGAACATATTGATTTCTTTTTGTTACTTAAGTCCCTTGTAACCCGAACGTGATATTAGCTCTTCATAAAAATATTCACCATTGAACTTTCTTATATATCTAATGGCAGACATATACAACCCTTTGCAGAGTTTGTCCCTTATATACAAATATATATCATGGATAAGGATAAAGTACAATTTAGCATTCGTGACAACTCTGTCACATAGTAAAGCGTCCAAGGTAAAGGATCAAGATGATTATGTTACTGCCCTTTAATTCTGTTCAATTTGAAAAATGTAAGTTTCTTCTTTAGCTGTTTTTCAAATACTCTATAAAATGAAGGCTTGAGCTGTAGTGTATTGCAGACAGAGTAATATTGCCTCCGACAATACCATTTTGATGTAGGATATGTAATGTATAAGCTTCTGAAGCCGGTTTGCTCGTTCTGTGAGTGTTGTGTGCCTTTTCTTCTCATGTTCATCCTTAGAAAAGCTTCGCAGGTTTTAAATAGAGAGCATTTCTTATGTATGCATTTGTATTTTTCCAAAGTCTCATTAGGAGAGGAATTACTGGAAGTATTTGCAGTCTTACATTAAAAGTAAGCAGAGTTTTAAGGGAAAAGTGCTACAATCTGTGGCGTAATTGAATCTATTTCATGAAAATAGAAATCTTGCCTCCCCATGTGCAGATTTCACCAATAATGGCTCTTGTAAGTTCCTAAAACAGCAGTATTCCTCAATTTCATTACCAGAGCCGTAAGTTCAAGACACATGAAATTTGGTCTAAACATGTATTATATTGGGCCTTATTTCTAGAGATTTTGACAACTTGTTCACTCATTAACTTCACATTGTCACGTCTAAAATTCAGTTTCATTGCAAAAATAAATTATTTAGTAGTTGAAAGGCTGGGTTTAGAGGGAATTTGCATTAATATTTATTTTTCAGATTGTATATAGGCATGCTTAATAAATTTGTATTTATAGAATTCATTTTGCTTTTGTCAGAATACAAGCTGTACTTTTTAATGAAACAAATGCTATATAAGGTTCTTGTTAAGTTATGCAAAGACTGAAAAATAAGTCAAGCAAAATGTAGCAATACTGACAAAGAAAAAGGAATTTATCCATTCATTTTCTTTAAATTGATGTGCTTAAATACCTTTTTTTGTTTTTACAAGCAGAAATGTCTGAGCCAAATCAAAATAATATGCAGAGTTAAGTGGACTAATGTTTTGAAAGTGCAAATGATAAAATCATATAGTTGATATAATTAGTTTTCGTTCATGTTTGTATTGTTCATACTAGTGCTAACTGGTACCTACCCAGTGGTGCCAGTGATTATACACAGCGGTTTATATAGTTAAGTGGACTAATGTTTTGAAAGTGCAAATGATAAAATCATATAGTTGATATAATTAGTTTTCGTTCATGTTTGTATTGTTCATACTAGTGCTAACTGGTACCTACCCAGTGATTATACACAGTGGTTTATATACAGATTGCTTAAAAGAGTATAATTCTGGTTGAGTTCAAGAGAGCTTAAATTTCCAATCAAAGTACCTTGAATACCAGCTCAGCAACCCTGTTGAGCACGTGCTCAAATTCATTCCTGACTCGGCAGATCGCTAAAGTATGTGCTTAAGTAAAAAAATTTTAAAAGACCTTTCTCAGGACCAATAAATTAGCTGGCTAAAGCGAGCTCTAGTTAAGACTCATAGATTCATAATGCATAAATAAAGCTTGTCACCCTGCCCGCCCCCCTTTTAAGGCCTTAAGCCTTTTAACTTAAGCTCGTACTGTGGCTCTTTTGAAATAGGAATGAATTTGGCTGTGCCATTAGCAGCATTGTTGAGCTGAGGCCTTAAATGTTTTATCCAGAAACTTGAGGTGATGTGAAATGTGAAATGTGTTGATGGCATCTGTAAAAATTGTATCGTGTACTAGGCAACTTGGTATTTTAATGCATTCCAGGTGGTCTCAAAGGTGTAAAATACATTTGTAAAATGTGAGTACAGAATATGAGACTTCAACAACGGTGTTCATATTAATAATATAAAGACAAACAAGGTTTTAAAAATATTATTTTCCTTCTTAGTTTTGTTTTCTTAAGTGTCGTGGTTTTGTTTTTTGTATTTCTATTGCTAGTAGTGTGGACATCTAGAGAAATTATAATATATACATATATGTATGAGGGGCTGTATATAGCCGTACATTAATTTATTCTTTGCTGGGAAGGTTAGTGTCTTATGGATGCAGTGAAAATTAGGCTCCATAATAATGCATGTCTAGCAGTAAAGTAAAAGCAGTGTTTAATAATTGCAGGTCTGGGTAATGTGGTTTGGTGTTCATACCTTCACTCAGGTGGAGCCAGAGAAGTTGAAGACACTAACAGAAGGTCTAGAAGCTTACAACCGAGCCAGAAAAAGGAACAGAAAGTAAGTAAATGCCCATTTATTTACTAGTGAAATGGAATAATTAAATTCTTTTCCTTCCTAAGACTCTCCTTTTGGGGAGCTTAGCAGATTGGCCAAACTGAAGAGTTAATTTTCTGAATTCCTTGTGTTGGTTATGATAATCATTCGAGATCTTTGTTATCTGCATTTTTATTGCATCTTCTGATATTTACAGTAGCCTTTGTAAAATGTCAGCCCACTTGTTTGAGCTTTCATGTGTAGGATTTCTAATTTACAGCGAAAAAGTTATTACATCAAAACTATTCTGACCAAGTACACTTTTTAACAAGATCTGCCCTTCTTATCTCTTCCCTCTCCCTCTGGCAGCTGCTGCTGCAGGCAAAGCACAGGTTTATTCAGATAAATTCTGTTTATTTCCCATTGCTGAGAAGTGTTTCAGAATATGTGAAGTCTGGCTGTATTTAACCAGACAAGGGGCTCAGTGCAGAGCTTTGTGTCAGGCATGTGAACTGTTTGGTTTTATCTTGCCTTTTAGCTTTTATTTACAAATATACAAGGATAGAAGGACCGTGAAACAGTATGTATTAGGACACGAAGCATCAGCATAGACAAAAAGAGGACAATGGTTGACTTTAGGAGGGGAAAAAAAAAATCTGGACAGCTATAAAAGGATAGAAAAGTAGAAATTGTACTGATTGGATTTGTTCTAGGATGCTGTCGCTTATTTACTGTTGCAGTGAAAATATATTACTTTGTGTGAGAATTTAAAGCCAGCTTGAAATACTTGTCTTTAGCACAATAAACATAGGCTTAAATGAATTAAATAATTATTTGTCTTCAACTCCTTTTAAGGTGTAAGCTTTTCTTCTATTTATATGTCACGCGGCGCTTAAGAGAAATATTTTTTATGCCAGTGAGAAAGTGTCGGTGGTTTTGTTTTTCCAAGACCATCCTCAAAATATCTTACTGGAGTTTAAGGGTGTGTGGTGAGAACATAGAAGGGCTTTTGGCAGCTCCCGAGTTACTTGCTCGTGTCCCTGAAGCGAAATACGTGACTCAAGTAAGGTGACACCAAGAGCAAATTTAAAGAGGTGTTAAAGTTGAGATAAACAGTACAATTTAAGAAAAACTCACATCTTCTGATTTGCATTTGTATATTTAGCAGACTGCAGGGATTGTCTGCAATTCCACTGAATTGAATGGTCTTTTTTTGTGGCATGTCTGGTTCTGCCCCATTGCTTGCCCATAAGGAAACATCAAGTATCCCAGCCAGTCTGGGGCACCTGGTTGCCCCTTTTGTAGGGTTGCTTTACAACCCTTACAGGTTTTCTCTCCGTATTTCAACTTGTGCTTATTTCATAGTTCAAATCTTTTGGTATTTCTTCATGGACCCTTCTTCTTTCCTGCGTACTGTTGTAAATTCATCTGAAAAAGTTACAAATCTCCTTACGGTCTTCTTTCTGGTATATGTCTCTCTAGTACCTTGTTACACCCAGGTCCAGATTTTTTAAAACGTATAGCATTAGCTATAATTGCTACATGTAGAATAATACTATTTCTGTTTCCTACCTCTGTAAATACTCAGCACTTATGCATATCATGTACTGGCATCAAGTTGAACACTTCTATAGTAAAGAAAACATGGGTAAAGAAACCCAGAATAAATTTATGTTGAGAGAGCATGGACATAGGTGAGAGAGCATCACATAGGTCCAGTGTCTTTAGCAGAGCAGGATTAGCATCCAGGTCCTCAAAATGACGTTCGGATACCTTAACCCCATAAATTATTCTTCGTGTTCCTACAGTTCGTGTCTCAGCCCTAGTATATTGTACCATTTTGGCAACAAATGTTACTTATGGGACTACTGCAGTAGTCTCCTTCACTGCACAGTCTTGACTCAATCTCCAATAATATATATTAATATTACATACTAAATATAAAATTATTAAAACTAAATTGAAGATGAAAAATGTTTGCAAAGCTAAAAACTGTATTATAAAAGGGATGTAATAGGATGCAATTCAAGTTGCACCCTAAATCCAGTATTTTTGAATTGTAAATCTTAATCTAACCTTAAGTATTAGTTTTCAAAATGGGAATGTTTTGTGCATTCAGTTTCTTATGTTTCTAAACAAGACACCAGAAAAAAATGTCATTGTGGCACATTTGATCAGCATAGTCAGATGTGTTAGCTCTGTTGCACAGAGCTTTGTAACTTCAACTGATAGTATGATCTAAAGCATTTTGTGTAGCACTTTACTAGAAAATGGTAAGGTGTTTTGCTTGGGGATATCTCAGAGGCATGGTGTGACTCCTAAACCATCGTATTTATTCTGGGCCTTGTAGGAAGATGCACTCTAGTCCGAACTGCTGAGCCTTCCCAACCTTTCTCAGTTCCATCTTGTCTCAGCCGTTCTGTTCTTTTCCGAGCCATGTCTCTTCTTGCTTCCAGCAGGTCATGAGGTAGCAGCTTTCCCACCTGTCCAGTTGTAGTCTCTAGAAGACTCTGCTGGAGGCCTAGTCTTCCCTTATCAAAGCCTCATCTGATGCAATCTTTGTTCTTCCCAAGCTTCGTAGTTATCTGCATTCCTCTGTCCACCAGTGTTCTCCTGTCCCACCGCGTGCAAAGCATCTTCCGTGGGTCATACCCAATACCAGTGTCTCCTTCTCCTGTGGTTTCCTGTTCCTCTTTGTGTTATTCCCCACACCAGGCTTCTCTTTTGTCAGGGGTGTGCCATTTACCATCCCTACCATTCCCATCTCTACCATCCATCCTAAGTTATTTCCAAACGAAGTTTGAGCGGTGCCTTCTCAGAGTTGAACAGTTACGTCTCTGATGTCCCTCCTGTTGGACACGTACCGTGTTCAAAGTTGAACAGGACTCCAGTAAGGGAAGAACCAATGCATCTCTTCCACCACCTTTCCAACTTCCAGCTCCAATCAGTCTCCATCCTGACACAGTCTAAGTCTCTCTGTCTTCTCTAGGTGTGAGTCTAGTAGTGGCTTGCCCCATACTGTTAGAGTCAAGCAAGGTGGGTGCACTCAAACGTCCCTGTTATCACTGCAAGAGCTGCCCAGGGGCAGCAATTGCAGGTGAAGTCTGGAATATGTCCACTATGGGAGGGAACTTCAACTCAAAACATGCTTAGACTTCATTTTGAAGATACAATTTGGTAAAAATTTAGTGGGCCCTAGTAGGGAGGAGGAGGATTAAAAGAACGCTTTTGACAAAAAGGTTATCCTTCCTTTCCGAGGGAAGGAATTTAAATCCTTCTCCAAAGCTTGTTGGCCACGAGAGGTTCTCTAAGAGATGTTGTGCTGCTTTTTAATGAGAGAAACAAATTGTTGGTAGAATCTTCTAAATGCAATTTGACAAAATTTGGGACATTTGTAGGTTGGTTTGGATCACTGGAGACCTGATGCATATGTTTATCTGATGTCAAATTCTCAGGTTTTTAGCTGCAGTGTTTTGTCTGCACTAAATGGTTATTTGAGTGATGAGCACTTCTGAAATTTTGATTTGCTCAAGGGCACGTCATCATCTTCACAGTAAAATGAGCATAGCAACAGTGTCTTAAGACTACAATTCAAATGATCATTTGTATTTTAAATACTTTCAAATGGCTGTTTTGACTAATAGCAATAATTTCATAGATACCATAAGGGTGGGTTGCTGATAGAGTATAATGTTGATCAAATAACTTTACATCACATATAGGTAACTTGACATCTGAAATCTGCTTCTAAATGACATGCAAGTCAGCGATGTTATCAGTTATTAATACAGCTGCATTATAAATAGAGTCATATTACCTTTCTAGGAAGTTATGCTGCCACTAAACAGTATTCTGTTTGTCATTTATAATATCTAAGGGTGCCTTCACTTCTCCAAGTTGCATAGCTTAAACTTGTTTTTGCAAGCAGTCTAGCTCAAGCAGTTCAAAAACCCAGGTGGACATGTCAGGCTTTGTATGAGAATCTTTATTTCAGTTTATCTTATAATTTCTCCGGTTGATTTAAACTACAACAGCATACATAAAGTTGCACAAAACTCCTTTTCCACTGTTCTAACTAATTCATTCAAAGCCTTAGTTAAACTTGTGCAGCTTTATGAGTGGATGAAGTCCCATTATACTTCACTTTTGCACGATCAGGTCAGTAAGGCTTCTAGCTTTTTTAATTTTTTGTGCAATTCATGCCCTGGTATAGCTCAGATGACCAATGCAAAATGGTGTTAAGGAATATCTTGTTTGAATAACGAATAACAGACCCTCTGATCTCCTGTCTTCGATCTCGCAGCTGCGCTGATGGTTATGAAAATCATTTTGCTGAACTAGGGGGATGGAATTACTGTAGAGCAACACTGTTGAATAGTTCGTCTGTGCTACTTCCTTGTCAGTCTTGCCAGTGCTTTTGGTTGCTATAAATCTTTAAGTCCCAGGGAAGGATGTCCCAGCTGACATGATGATCTTTATTAAAAGGGAAGGGTTTTTTTAGAAAGCACCTCCTTCTGTAAAGGACAGTCCTAGTGACCCGACCATCCGTGCCAGTTTGGACAAGCCGTTCTCTTACCTGTCTCTGCCATTATCTTCCCTCATGATGCAGACAGCTCTCTTCCTCCTCCCCTCATTCCTCATTTCTGCATCTCCAAATCGGGGAGAACAGTACTTTCTTACTCTTATTCCTGAGGATATTGTGATGGATGCTCACAACGCTGTCTCTCATCTCCAGGATGATCTCTCTCTCATCTCTTACTCAGCCATTTGTCTTCACGTTCATTACTCTTCTAAATGTACCTATTCAGTTGAAATCATGAATGAACCAGCCTATCTAAATATATATATATGCCTGCTTTTAAGCACAGATCCTCAAGCTGTCAACAAATGATAGTAACTTGTGCTCAAGTGCTGTTTGCTAGCTTGAAACTCTGAGGTGTGAACACGGAGCCACAGAAGCATGACCTGTCATGCACAGCATGGTGTTCAAGTGGGAAACTTCTTTAAGAAAGAAATATACATAAAGCAAAAATGTCACTGTAAAATTAACTGCATATGGAGCTGCCCAATGACTCGGGTAACGTTTGATTTGGAAGAAGGAAGTCTTCACCCTACCTTTACCGTAGCCCTTGGTGTGCTGTCATTCCGGGGTAAAACTAGCAATGTTTTAAAGAACTAATACAACTTACTTTCCTCTTGCTATTTATAGTTAGAAGGGGTATTTAACGTCGAGCTTTGTGCTTTGGGTAAGAGGAAAACTTTGCAACTCACGCACTGATTTTTCAAGAAGATGGCAGTGTACATTATTTAGTCCTTCACAAAAGTGTTGCTGAACCACATTTACAACGTAAATGCAGCATGTAACATGGAGTGGGAAGCAGGCAGAGGCAAGCTGGCAGCAGAGGTTTAGTAACACGTGAAGTCTTTAAGAAAGTCCAGAGTAGCTGGAGTACTCCTCTGCTCCTGATCAAAACCCGTGAGAGGCGGGCCCTTTGCTAATGATTTTAAAAAAAGATTGCAGAAAACGCTGTGTTACCGTGAAGTATTCTTGCTTTTTGTTCATGGGTGTAATCTGTCTTGTGGATGTTGTAACTAACCATACAACTGATATGTGCTGGCTTTAATTTTTCTTCTGTAATTATAACACAAGCCTTTAATTTGCGTAATATTGTATATAGGGCTGATCTTGCTATTTGTGCTATAACAACCTGGGAAGCTCTACAGCTAGTAGAATATATCCAATGAGTTAATGTGTTTATTATTAATTTTTTAAAAGTTTTTTTTCTGCTCTTAAGAATTACTGATGACATTATTTTTTTCCTCCTAGAAGTGGAAAGCTAAATAACCATTTAGAAGCTGCTATACACGAGGCCATGAGTGAACTAGACAAAATGTCTGGGAATGTAAGTTTCTTTTTGCGTTAGCAATAATATTCTCTTTTTTCTATGTTTCTGCATGTGTGTCAGTTGAAGACTGGGAGTGTTGGTTTGGGTTGCTTTCTGACATAAATTTTGTTTCTATTTTCTTAAATACTGTGAAATTTTTAGTATTTCTCCTGCGTTAAAAGACATTTGCAAATGTCTAATCGTTCTGAAAGATGGGAAAAAATGTAGAATTTTAGTTACATTGCCGATTATATTATTTTTTACAAAGTTAGATTCCTGGATATACTTTTACTCATCCAGCCTGATAATATTTGGATCAGTTCCAGTCCTGCTCATATTCCATGGGTTTTCACTGACTAGTGACACAAAATCAGGCTCGTTTGTTTTTCAGTTTGAGTAGCAAGATATTGAAACCACATTTAAAAACATTGTTCTTTTGAATGTAAAACTCTGAGTAAATCTTTCCTTGTTGAAATGAAAGATACTGTCATGAAAGGTAAGAGTATTCCTAATATCAAATCTAACAGTGCTCTTTCTAAAATATTTACACTGTTATTACGTAAGTCCAGTATCTTTCTAATGTAAAATTTGGTTTATATAATGTACTCATCTTCATACTTAGAACATGTCTGTAATTTCATTGAAACACACCTAGAAAAGCAAAAAAGTATATCACACTTAGAAATGCAAACCTTTCATATTTTATCATTGGTAGTTATTCAAATTATGAATTATAAAACATTTGAATACATAAAAAAGTCTTTTTCCTGATGTTCCATGCTCAGTACTGAAGATGCTTGTACACGTGCATATTTAGAAGTAGTAAAACTTCAGGGGAGCTACTGGAGTACATAAAAGGAAATGTATACAGAACTGCAGACTTAGAGCTGGTTTCAGAACCACCAAGCAATATTAAATAAGTTATTCAGTAGCTTTTAATGGCTGCCACAAGTAATAACAAAATCAAGTCTTTTGTTTAAACTCGTGAATTTTACAAAACGAGGTTGAGTTTTGATCTAAAACGACGTGTGTTTTCCTCTTGTCTTTGGAAGGAAAAGGAAAGCACGATCTGATTGTAGGTCTGTTGCAAATAAATATGGGATATGTGTTTGGCAAGCACATCTTCTGTGTCGGTTACACCACCACTTAAATGTTTGGACTGGACCATTCTGCTGATACCTTTTTTTTCATCTATAAACCCAGTAATACTAAAAACTGTATGCTATGTGCATTTTAACTATGATATAAACTGGCTCAGGGGAAACTGCTGTAATTGGATTTGCTGATCTGGTTGTTTCGTAATGCAGACAAGCTGACGTACCAGCCTGCATGTCATTACAGAGTCTTGATTTATATTTTAATTATCTGGTCACAAAATTTGTGGTCAGGATTTATATCCATAAAGGTCATGATTCCTAGAAACACTCATAGGGAATCAATGGTTCTCTTTTTAGTGACTTGCATTTTTTTTCAGCTACTACTGTTCAGACACCAGTTACATTTTGAATGAAAAGCATGTGCAAACAAGATAATTAGCTCAAAAGAATTATTTCTACTGGTAAGAGCCAATAAATACGTAGTAAATGTTAGCGGTCTGAAGGAATTCAGGTCGGACCCAAGGAAATAATTTAGCACATTGCTGAAGGATTTGTTACTGTCGCCTGACTGCTGTCTGGAAGCTGCAAATTCCTCTTCCCCGAACAGCAGCTCGCTCCCACCGACAGATGGTGGTGGTATTCCACGCTAGGCACGAGCACCTTCCTCCACGTCTTTTCTTCCAATTATGTTGTGGTTTTTACTGAGCAGTCAGTGATGAAAAACTGTTTCACGCTCAAATTAATCTCACATTTAGCTCGAAATTGAATATTTCCTTTTAATAATCAGATGAAGACAGTTTGCTAAACATAGCTTGTTCCTTAATAGTGCTACCGCAGACCTGAATTTGACTTCTCTTATTTTTCCCTGATAGCAATATTTTCTCACCACCTACTTCCTACTTTATTGTTCTTGTCACAATGACATATAAAGATTTGTCTCTGAGAATCTGACATAATTGCAGTTTTGGGTTCGGTTCCCGATTATGCAGTTTCACAATTACTGTAGCTGGTGCCTTCCTCCAGGGTAGGAGAGGTTTGAGATGCAAAGACTGTGGCATCCAGCATCAACCTTTTTCTCCCCAGTGCCTTAAAGTTCTTGAAGTTCCTTTTAATTCGGGCTTCCATGTAGTCATGAAATAATAAGAACCGTTTCATAACAGCACCTCAAGCAATCCTGTAACTCATTTATTACTGGCTGGTTACTTTGACCAATATTCTTTGCTAACTTCTAAATATACTTATTTTTAGGTCCACCAAATCCCACAGGGAGACAGACAAGTGAAGCCTCCAAAACCCAAGAGGAGGAAGATCTCTAGATAACATTGAATGTCTTTGTTACTGGTCCAGTACTTATCAAAGTGAACGTGCACATAAGTCTATATGTAGGTATTGATATAGACGTGGTTATATCAATATTTATATGAAGACAGATAGATACCATCACAGGGTGCTACGCGGATTAGTGGTACAATATTTTTGATGATTAGGAGGGATAGCGGTCGCTGGATAAGCCAATCAGAAATCTTGAAAGGTTGCAGTAACAATGTCAGATGATTACTGAAATTTTTTTCTATAATACTAAAATTGTGATTATAAGAAATAGTCCAAATGTTTCTGAGAAATTTTCATTGTGTATATAGATAATACAGAATTTCATGGTGATATCTGAAATGTAAATATTGTACAATATTGTCATGTACAAGCGTACCTAATGCACACTTTATCTTTTATTGTACAAAAAATAGTGTACAAAATTCTTTGGTTTCTATTGAGTACACATACAAGAGACTACCAGTGTAAAGTGATAAATAAAAATACAGCCTAAATGCTTTTATATGATAATGTAAAAGATGCTGTTTTTGTATTTAACAGCAGAGAGAAGGCATGATTATGTAATACCTTAATTATGACATACACTTCACGCCACTGAGTGTTCATTGATACTGTCTGTTTGGAATGAACCTTGCCTGGAAGTACTGTACTCCATTTCAGGTCTCTGTAGGAGAGTGCAACCTTGCAGATTCCTAACGGGATGTGGGATCACAGCTCTAATTAATAATTCAAAGGCTGCAACTACCGGTTGCGTTTTTATTTACTTAACTTTTAAAGTAGAATGCTGTAGATTTTATTAAAAAGAAAAAAAAGTAGATGGACTATTTTAGTCAACCATTTCTGTAGTTAAAGTTTCATAGCCACCTGATAAACTAAACAGTTTATATCCCCCATAACGTTGACCCCTCAAAACCCCTAGATTTATTAGCTTAAATTACCTAATGTCATTAACCATCGTGTTTACTTTTAGGGGGGCAGAAGCCCTGCTTTAATAATGTGATCAGTATTGATTACGGTTTGGTTTTGCAGTAGAATGAAAGGGCATGCTCCGCAGCGTTCGTAAAAGTAATTCCAGTATCCATCTCGCAGTATTAAAACAAAAAAATTAAGGGTGGCTTACAAAACTATTAGCAACAGTAATTTTTATCAGTATTATGTAACATATCAGATTTATTTTATTTAAAAAAAATTATTTATACCATTAACAGATTCTTATATATATTAATGTGGCTGAAATGTGCAGGTTAAATCTATTAACCAAATTATTTATGTTATATTAAGTGAGAAATGTGAAACATATGTAGAAAAAATTAATACACTACAGATTTAAAAGTCTAAAGCTATGAGCCATTATAAAATTAACGAACGGAAGTGTAGCACAACATTATTTCCATTTTATTTCATTTTTCTTTTTAACACGGATGGTGGTGATGGTGATGGAAGCAATGATGTCCTCTGTCTTCAAGGCTTCCCGAAATAACTCTCAGTTCACCATTCCCGGTCCCGGGGTGGAGTCCGTAACCCCTGCCTCTTCGTCCGGGACCACCACTTACCTCAGATTTCCCTTTTTCCCCCCTGAATTCCCAAATCTCACTCTCTAGCTAAGGACTGGCAGTGATCAGCATCCTGGGAAGCTGGCGGTATCGCCGCTCTCCAGATACCCGGCACTCGGCGCCAGGATCACAAGTCATTGCTCCTCTTCCCATCCGCCTTGCCCAAGTCCCAAACTCCTCTCTCTGAAGGACCTGACCGAGACCAGCCGTCCCCGAGGACGACGGGACCCGGCGGCTTTCCCAGCCTCGGCTCTCGCGTGCCAGAGCACGCAGCACTACCTCCGGGCTCGCCCCTGGGCTTTCTCATGTCTGGCAAACCGGCGCTCGCTCCTCCTTCCCCCCAGCCCGAGGGATCGCAATAGCTGCACTGGCTACAGGGGCCTGGAGGCAGGAGCCCTTCCTTCCGCGGGGTAGGTTCATTTGTCTTTTCTGTAACGCCACCGTCCTCCATGCAAGCTCATGTGAAGGGATTGCTCTCATTAGTTTTGTTTTTTTTTTTTTTGGGGGTGTAGTTTAGCTCGCATTTTTCTGTTCCGAGTCGATGTGTTCGTTCAAAGAGTCGATGTTGTCCGTTTTCCACGCCAGCCCGCTTTCCTGCTGTCTGTCCACACCCGCGTGGGTTTTAATTCATCACGACGTGCGTGCGTGTGTATGTGTGCGTGTGCGAGCGCCTGTCTCGATTTAGTTTCTTCCCCCCTTTGCTTTCTGTCCTAGAACCGAGTTTGTATTGACCGACCCTTCTTTTGGCATTTTAACTAATTAGGTTTGTACTTTCTCACCAATGTATACTTTACATCAGTAGACTATGTAAAGTATTTTTGTGCACTTGATTTCATTGGTTAATAATGGCATTGATGTGGGTGCTAGGAGTAGTTTGTTTCAGTCCATACCAATTTTTTTCTCTTTTAGAGTTTTTATGGTTTCATGTAAGCAGTTAATGTAAATATTGTGAGCATTACAGGTCATGCGGTGTTGTAACATTTTAAAAAATGTTGCACCTACTTTACGATTAAAAAACTGGTCACTCATACTTGAATTTTGCCCATAGAGCCATTTCTTTCTCTTTGCATTAAAGCATAATATACTTTTTTGATGGAGGCCCAACCCTTCTTTCTACCTTATTATTTTTTGTTTAATAAATCTATATTTTTTCTAATAGAAGACTTAAAAATGAAAATTTAAAAAATACTTTTTGCCTACTTTCTAATTTAAGAGAGAATTCCTATATTTAAAAGGTGAAAAAAAAAAAATACTCCATTGTGGAAAGTGGAACAACACTTTACTTGTCATTAATATGGCACAATCACACGAAACTGAACTGGCTGAGTAAAGCGAGCCCACAACGTCAATCAGTATCTCGGTAGATTAGGGAACTACGTGATTCTTTGAGGATGTAAAGTGTTACATATTCTTGTCTATTTATTTATTTATTTATTATGCTTTCTTTTGCTAAGTGGGTGACAATGTGGTTGAGTCATTCAGATGACATTCAAATTAAAGGAAATATTCCTCTTTCTATTATGGTGCATTTTGTGAACACCATAAAAAAAAATATTTTCATTTATTTCAATGGATTTTCTTCATATTTTCACTTCTGACAGAAATCGTTTGGCTGGTATCAGCTGCAAAAATAATATCCACGTAGTTTAAAAACAACCAGAACCAAACAAAAACAAAAATAAAAAAAACCCCACCTCTGATGTCCCAGGCCTATTATCCTCACAGTCTAAGGTTTTAGGGGATAAAAAGAACTTAAAATTTAAAGGTATTTCCTAAATCAGCTTTGCAGAAGGTTTATAAGTAATGTGATATCCTTTTGGAGTCCCTGAGTTTGATGGTATAGAGATATTAGAGGGCTCGCGGTGGACTGAATTACCTTAGGACTGCTACCTTTCTTAGCTACAGTTTGTATTTTGCTATGTAGGGTTGTAATGTGAGAATTCCAGAAGAGCAGTAGCATAAAAGTGCTTTTCTATTTTTTAAAAAAACCCATTCTAGTCTTACTAAGAATTAGAGATTTTTTTAATATCAGTTTTGTAATTTTTGATAAAGTTGTCAATATTATGATTAAATCACCAGAAAAAAAAGTTACTGTGATGTTCTCTTCGGGGCAGGGACTATGTCTTCCTATGTATTTGTAAGATGCCACGATGGGATGCCCAGTCTTAAATGGGGCCACGGGCACCGCTATCAAATTAAATAGCAACCAACAACGTTGAGGTTGATTTAAATGCATAAAAGCCAAGAGAATTCACAGTTAAGACTGCAAATCTGATTACCTGGCCTTAGTTTGCCTGCTGTGTCCTCCGTGGAGGTAACGTCATCGGGTGCGACGTCCGATGGGTAAGTTGAGGAAGCCGATGGCTCACGCAACCCAGGACCTTCTCATCCAAGTCAAAACAGATCCACGCCGCTAACACAGCCCTCAGTCCCCTCCCTCTCTCTGCTGCTTTTACCAGCACTAACAGAGCAACTCAACGTTCATGTTTCAGATTCCCCCAAAAATACCATCAACCCAGTGGTTTAAGCACGTTAGTGATTTACAAAATCCCGAACACACAAACAGGTCATTTAATTAAAAATTCACTGCAAGCACAGTTCACGCTGGTGTCAAATCAACTCCAGAAAAACACTTTGAACACTTTGAGCCTTCCAAAAAAAAAAAAAAAAAAAGATCCCACCCAAAAAACAATTTGTCGATCCCCAGGACAGGAGGCTGGAGCCTTCCTGAGGATCCCCCGAGCTCTGGCAGCGCGTGGCCCACCGTGCCAAGCATGTCCGCCCCGTGCCAAGCATGTCCGCCCCGCTGCTGGCGCCTCTGGACCTGGTTATCGTGCACTTGCGCTACCGAGGACTAGAGGCTAACTGTAAAAGAGCGAGCCTGCGCTCCCGTATTTCAGAGAATATTGCTCAAACGCAGAGGTTACATCAGGGGCTGGGTTTGGATTGCTGTAATAAATGCTGCCCAAGCATACGTACCCCAAAAAGTCCCACCAGCCTCTTGCGACCCTGCGTTGCAGGCTGCTGATTAAACTAGCGTGCAAAATGGAGTAAGCCACTATGAACTGGAACAGTTAATACATTGTATTTGCTTTGCATTTGAAAGCTAAGCAGTGGGAAGTCAGGCCCCTGTACATCATTTCTCTCTACCAGGTTTTACAATTTATTTATTGGCTGTGAAGACTTAAAAGCAATTTTTGTTGTTGCTTTAAAAAAAAAATTCCAAGGTTCGATTTGAAATATCCCCCGCGAAAGCACGTTCTGGAGAGATTTCATTTCACGTTTTTACCTGCTGCAAGATAAGTATTTGTCTGTAATTGAGTGCCATCCCAACAGAAGATAACGGGTTAGGATTTAGAACAGAAAAAAAAAAAAAAAACCAAACACAAAAACCATATATATATGTAATAGTTCTTTCTAGAAATTCCTGTTTTAGAAAAGATACGGGAAATGGGAAGGGTTTTGACGTACTTACCCTGGACGAAGCGGAGTGGAGAAGGCAGAGTGAGAGCATCCCCACGTACCCCTGTGTACAAACCCCAAGAAAGCATTAGCAGAGGTTGCCGCAAGTCCGAGAGAACAACCGTGCGCAGGCAGTATCAGCTGGTGTTTTAAAATTACAGGCAGAAATTGATACCAATGAGTGAGCGAGCTGGGTCTGAGCCGCAGTCTGAGTCTGGTTTTGAGCGGTGCTAAACCAGTTACAATATGGGATGGGAGAACAAAGTCTGTTACAGCCACGTCCACATCCAGTCCGGCGGTGCAAAACACTTGCAGGTAAGTCCTCCTGCGGGCGTTAATGATTTCACTTAGCTAATGACGTTAATACCTATTAACTGTTACTTAAAACCGTGAGAGACTGTACAGATAAGGAAAAATAAGCATTCTCGCCCTGAGGAAATATCAAAGTACCAAAATTAAGGCTGCAATGCAAAGAAACCAAAAGAAC